GGTTCTTCTAGCAAGTCTCATGGGCCCAGGGTAGATTCACAGTTTTAATCAATAGCCAGATTATAAGCTAATTCAATAATATTCACCTGCTCAAATATTATTAAATATTTATAGCTTGCTCAGTGCAGTTTCAAGCTGGTCTCCTGGTCCGTTGGATGTTCGTGGTTTTCCAAATGGGTTCTCTGAAGTAATTAAATCCTCGGCTCATGGTTGAAAACCTGGTTTTAAGCATTTGGGAGGGAGTCTGTGCCTTTGGCAACTGTTGCGCTCATTCACCTCTTCACATTTTCTTACTACGTTTAATGCATCGGCCAGGTGTAATGAGTAGAACAGGCTGCAGTTGTTAGGTAAAATTATTACTGTGGTGCTGTGTATCATAAGGGAGACCCTGAGATGTTTAAATCCACATGTCTGTGAGAGAGCTCTTGAAGGAGGCCTCTTTTCCAGCTTGGCATTAACAGTGGCTTTCAGATTGGTTTCTCGTTGACTTCATCATAGGCCGGCTCTGTTCAGTGATGGTAAGCACAGTGTAGTTACACACGTAGGCCCAAATTATTATTATTTTTGTGCTTTATTTACCAGAAGATTTTCTTCTTTGCTAAACAATAGAAATAAATACAACTCCACATCTTAAAATCATAAAAGGTGGCAATTAGTAGTAGTACACTATCTATTTAGCCTTTTATTTCCAAGGCAGAGAACATGGAGTAAAGAACTTTTTGGACATCTATTTTGTTAAAAATTTCCTTGAAAAAACCTGTATATATTTAGCATGAGAAATAATTGGTGAGAGAATTGTTGACTATAAAAGAACTTGGTGTATTCATTCCTTTCCTGCTGACACATAAACGTTACTTTCAGATGAAACCAGCATATTTTATTGTTTGGAATAAAACAGCGAGCAGTGTTCTGATATAAAGAATTCTAACATTAAGTAGAAGCAGCCATTATTTTGTAAAGAGATAATTTCAGTTCAGTGTGGTTCTTTTTACTTGTACAGATGATGCATTTAAACTTTAGGACTTCCCAAGGAGAGAGGGTAAAAAAGTGAGAGAATAAGATGAAATAAGGACTATGGGGATGAAGTTGTAGGGTTATAACTTAGCATCAAAGTGTAAGTCTTGGTACTGGGGATTGAACTCGGGTCCTTGCGCTTGTGCAGCAGGCAGTGAAACCACTGAGCCAAATCCCCGGCCCGAAAGTGTAAGTTTTGCAATTAACTAAACTGTCCACAGTTCTATAAAAGGAGCAGTGCAATATCTAGTTTTCTTTAACTGCAGTTTCACCCAACCCATTCAGTAATTGACTCATATGATTAACACGTTCCCACCGCCTGAACCCCCAGTGGCACATGCGCGACTGTCCCATCTGGCGGTTTGTACCACCAGGGTGCAAGTGGATCTAAGCACTTTTCTCGGTCTTTTTATTAATAAAATTAATTAAAAGCCACCCGATGGGACAGTCGTGCATGTACTGCCAGGGGTTCAGGCTGTCTGGCGGGGAGGCATGAGTTATGGCCCTGTTGTTGAATGTCTTAATACTTTAGGTGTGAACAGAATTAATGAGCAGCATTTTCTTTGAATTTTATTAAGCACTGTATCATTCTGCTTAATCTTATGAGAAAATAAGTTACTAAAATTTTGGTGGTTTTAAAAAGATAAGGAAGGATGGAACCAACCAGTTATTTTAAAGTGTAAAGATGGTGACTTCAGAGAAATCTACCGTAAGTCCATTTTTTGTTTTTAATGGCAGTGCAGCGGGGTGTCTAGTTATCTAAGTGATAGATGCATACTGCCACTAGTAGTACAGGTCGAACACCCCAAATTCCAGAGTCCAAAATCTGAGATCCGAAATGCTCCAAAATCTAAAATGTTTTCAGTGCTGACATAACACTGTTTCTTAGAGTCTGTGCAGATATTCCAAAATACTATACTGCAAAACTTGGTGATCAAATGTTTTGGATTTTAAATAAAAGATACTCAAGTGGTATAGTCTGCCCTTCCATCAGTTTAATAATACATAGTAGGAAAGCATTTTTGTTCTTACCTTTGAGTCTATGGATTCTGTGCTTTACAAACATAGGCTTTTATGAACAAATTTTTCCCTTTCATTGCCATATCCAATCTTGAATTTTTGTGATATCCATGAGATCACTTTAAAATTCTTCATTGTGCTGAAATTATTAAATTCAGTCAACGCATGCTTTTTCTTAGAGTCTGCCAAATGCTAGGCACTGTTTTAGGTGTTGAAAATGTAGTAGGAGACAAAATAAATAAAAATTTTTTCTTTAAGGCATTTGTATTCTGATTTAGGGGAAGGTCCTGTTCATTTATTAAGTGCTATCATTCGGGGCAAAATAAAGAACTTTTGGTACTTTTTTAGTAAACATTTACACTTCTAAAATTTGGTTTTAAAATAATTTGTTTTGTAGGAGCATCTGGAAGAAGGTGAAAGAGCAGAAAGGAAGTTTTTTTTGTTTTTTATGATGTCAGCATTGGTGATCATATCTCAGATGATGCTGTAAGTTAGTTTCATGACTAGTGAGCTGTTGGCTGCAGAGTTAGTTTAAATGAATCCTTCAAACATGTATGTAGAAGGGTGTTTCCGTGTCCTTTGGCTGGCTGTACTAAATCGGAGGAAGGCTTGGGTTGCCCTCTCCCGGCTGGGCACAGATCCAAGAGTTACTCTTGTGCTTGAAGTAGGGGCATACTTAGAAACCGGGGTTGGGTTGAGAGGTAGTACTGTGTCCGCCTGAGGGGCAGAGTTCCTCCTGGCTGAGGCTGTGAGCTGCCTGGGATTCTGACTGGGCAGCTTCACCGCAGGGCTCTGTCATTTATTCGCTTTGTGGGGACCGATAGGTTGACTTGTGCCTGTTTCCTCACTTCAGTATGAGGAAGATAACATCACCTTCTACGTTAGGTTGGCAGGACTGTGTGTTAAAGGCGCTGTGTACTGTCTGGTTCATAGTAATAGATCAGTCGATGTTGAGGATTATTGCTGCCAACCGTTGCCAATCTAATAATAGCAGGGACACTACTGTTAGCATATTTAGAAGCAGGCCAGTTGTGTTGTGTCTTAAAATTGCAGCAGAATGTTATTTTCAATCTTTCAAAGTGGGCCTTTGGGGGCTGGGGATTTAGCTCAGTGGTTCCGGCGCCTGCCTCGCAAGTGCAAGGTCCCGAGTTCAATCCCCGGTACTAACACAAACAAAACACACAGAGTGGGCCTTTGAGCAGAACTTATTTTTAATGTGTTTTTGTAAATATAGATATATTTTCTCCCCCATTTCTGTTCAGTGGAAATAATAAAGCTTTATAGCTTTGTGAACTCTAAATTCCAGGTAAGTGTATTTTGCTGAAGATCTCATACCATTACTAATCATTTTAATGATACTTCTTGTATCTAATACATACTCTGTATTAAAAACACAAATCTCACCTTGTGATACATTTTTATAAAATTCTGTGTACCTTAAGAAACTGTCTGCTCTAATTAGAAAAAGCGTAACACCTTGCTAGGTTTATTTTCCCTCATTGTCAACTCATTGTTCTAATTTATTGTTATGTTGGAAGAATGAGCATTATCACTGTTGTATCAACATGTTATCTATTTTACTTTTCATTTCAGTGCTTTGCCAGAAAACATTTGTTATTGACATGAAAGAAAATAAAATAGTTATTTTATTTGGTGGCAAATGAAGTGCTGGGATTGTGGCATCCATTCTGAATCATTTCTGAATGATTCATAGTTTTAAAAATATGAGCTGCACCACCCATGAGTTGCGCCCAGTACCTGTTTTGCTTGCCGAAAAGCAGTTGTTTGGCATACCGCACAGGGACCTTCTTAGTCCGCAGATAGGGTGGGGAGCCTGGACTTGGCGTGATTGGCTGCAGTGGTCGTACTTGCTGCTCAGTCGCCACGGCCCTCCTCGGCCTCAGCAGCTTCCCTTTTCTCCCTTCCAACCTCCTGGAGTTTCCTGTCTCACTCTTCTCATGAGGCCTAGTCTCTGCACCAGCATAATTTTCAGGTGTTTATGAAATGACTCTTGGGCAAAGCATGTTCCATAACCTAATAATGAGAGAAAAATGCAATCTTTTGTCTTGGGCTATGATAAATTTTAGGAAAATGCCCCTATTGATGCTCAGGAAAATGAGAGAAAATGTCTTATTGAGCTATAAGAGCAAAGCAATTGAAGTTTATTTTAAATGTATGGTCTTAGCTCTTAGTTCAGAACATTTCAGTTGTTTTCACAGATTCCTGGATGTTGGAGCTAAAGGTCCTTTGAGGTAGTGTTGAAACCCTTCATGGTAGAATGCCACATGCCAGAGGCTGCAGAGCTTGTGAGAAGATGGTTTATTGCTCTGCTATATTACCTACTGGATTTCCTCTCTTTTCCTTTAAATTTATTCTTGGGTCTATTCAATCAGGTCTCATCTTTGCCCCTTTCAGGTTTTTTGTTGGTCATCTTTTAGTGATGTTCTTGAACCCTTACAGTCATTGCCCTGTCCTCTGAGTCTGCGCTGTCCAAGATGGTAGCACTGGCCATATGTGGCTGTTTAAACTTAAAGTAACTGAAATGAACAGAATTGAAAGCTTCCTTTCTCAGTATGAGCGTCCTCCTCAGGGTTGATGCATGCACACGTGGCAAATGATCACTGTGTTGTACGGCTCTGACTATGACCTCTGGAAGCTTGGTGGGTGGCCTCATCCGGACTGTAAGGTTTTGGGCCAGGGACCGTCTGTGTTGGTATGAAGATCATACAGTACAGGCTCTTCTTTGAAAATTTCCTTTGCTCTTTGAGCCTTTTTTATGGTTGGAAATCAGCAATACCATATTTTCCATGTACACACTGTTTGCTGTCTGCATTATGTACTGCTTACAGTACCATAAACAGGAAGCTTGGTGCTTAGGGCTATGAGATATTTTTTGGATTACACATATTTCTTGTAAAGCTAGAAAATGTGTTTTAAATGTTTGTTTATTCTTTTTTACATTTAAGTCATCACGGTGGCTCCTTGGTGATCATTCCTTGGCGTGAGCGTAAACACCGAGCTGCAGATTGGTGCGAGGAGGCGGAGTGCAGGTCAGTCCGCTCCGCTGTGGGCGTCTTCCTTTCCTTGTGGGGCTGAGAGGCGGCCAGTGAAGTGATGTGCAGCCTGTGATCTTACTGGATGGCACTTCCTGACTTGGAGAACTTGAGCGAAATTTGAAAAGAAACACTACTGATTCATTTACATCAAGATTTTTTAATGAGGAAGTGCTAAATGTCACAAAGGAATTCTAAAAATTACTACACTAGCTCTTCATTTTGAGGTATTTCAGTCTTTCAGATAAGCAGATATATTTATAATAGTTATAGTCATGCTACACATGCAATTTCCTTTTTTTTGAGATAAGCTATTTCTCTTATTAGTAAGATACATTTCCACTTAGGTTTATGTACAGTAAAAGTGAGAGTTCTTAATCCAAACTCACATTGGGATCACCCAGGGGTATTTCCTAAGCCCAGCATGGTGGCTAGCATAGGAGATTTTGATTTAGTGGCACCTGGCTGTGTACGTTTTGTAAAAGCTTCCCAGGGTAATTTTTTGTTTATACTTATTTGATTGATTTGTGGCATATTTGCTTTATTACCCATCCTGATTTTCAAGTCAGGAAAACGAGTAGGAAATAAATTAAGTATCCAAGAATGTCCCATTTATCCTGGACGTCTGTATGTATGTACCAGAAAACACACACACACACACACACACACACACACACACACACACACATTCTTCTGCTGCCCATCATCTGCTCTGTCCCCCTCTCTGTCCTTCTTTCTCTTGGAATTACACATATCTTTTGCAGCATCTGATTCCGCTCTGAGTTGTTCCTTCCACTGCAGAATGGTTGTTGAGCCGAGCCCGCAGGACGGAAGCGAGTTCCTGTATGCCACGCAGCCCGAGTTGCTGCCGTTCCGGACCCCGCAGCTGGCGGTGGAGGAGGTGATGGACTGGTACCGGAGCAGGGCCGAGGAGATCGAGCACCACGCCGGCCAGGTGAGGCCTCTGCTGCCACCGCTGCCGCCGCCCAGGGTCTGTGTGGGGCTCTGTGGATGTGCCTGCGTTGCCCGCCCTCACTGGTGCGATTTCACGGGATGAAGTTAACATTTTTTCTTAACTTTCATTTCTTTATCTTTTGCCTCAGAAGCTTTTACATTGTTTTGAATCTTACAGGGCAAATATGTGCAAGAAAAGTTGTCCAGGATCCTTCTTAACATACACAGTGGACCCTACATTACACATTCCTGTCTCTGATTTTCTGCCCATTTTTAATACACTTAGTACCACATTCATTTAAAAGATCGCGTCTACAGAGAAATGCTTGATCAGTCCCCGTTAGGGTGCAGTAACTCAGTTGATTGTGAGTTTGCTTTTCAAGAACCCTTTTCGCAGCTACTTCTTCTGTTTCTCTAAGGCCATGCCTGATTTCCGGCAGTCCTGCCCCTTGCTTAGATCCTCAGCAACAGATGCATAAGTCGGGCATGACTCAGAATGACACTGGACCTTAGGGTGGCTGGGTTTGGATCTTGACACTAATAGACCCTGGGACCCTGGGGTTGATGCCTTCTGTGCCTTGGTTTTCTCTTGGGGTTAGTTCCAGTCCAGAGCTGCTGAGAATAAAGAATGTGCACTTCTGAGAGCAATGGCCACTCCACCAACTGAGTGCTGTGTAAACGGAAGCCATGATTACTTTGTCTCAGAGCACGTAGATTAGGGGCAGCACAAAGCACGGCCAGATGCACTCTGAGGTCTCTTTCAAGCTCTGGCCAGTGGGAGACGTTTCCTTTTTAGACCAAACGTTTTTAGTGATAACCAAGAACATTTTTCATTGGCTTCCCAAATTTTGGAAGATGGGTAAGGACTTACTACATTGGAAAGTGTTTAGGATTTTAAGGAATCACAGTGAAGAGAATCTTTGGAGAAAATGAAGTTGAATTCCATATTTTTTAGATAGATAAACCAAGGTCCTCAGAAATGAGGTGAGCACCCTGCACAGGGACCACCAGGCAAAGCCAGGCGAGACCCCCATCATGGAACAGAGTCCGTGTAACAGTGATCGGCACACAAATCCCAGTGACTTAGAGGAAAGTGCGCGCGTCCTGACGTAGTGGCTGTTCTCATAGTACGGGATAGAAGAGCTAAGGAAAGCTTATAATGCTTTTCTTACCATCCTAATGTAAGACTCATACATACTGTGTTTTATCTTCAGATCTAATGTCCAAACAGTAATGTGATAACCTAATTGCAGTACACAGGATAAATAAGTTAGGTCAGTGCTCAGCCTTGGCCATGGCCGCAGGAGGACGTGAAGTCTGCACGCAGTCAGTTCGAATGAATGGGGTATGAAGCCGCCCAGGAATTCAAGTGTGTTGTTACATCAAATGCCATGAATTGCTGTCAGGGTTGTGAACAACTAAGGCGTGGTTAAAAATGGTTAATAAAACTAAGTAAAATCTTCCTCTGCTTTATACACTAGTTATATTAAAGGAAAATTTAGTGTAAATTAAGCACACAAAAGAGAATTTTGTGTAACAGTTAAATGAAGTCGATCTTGACTGTGATGGTACCAACTGGGTCTTTAGGACATCAGCGAGGTGACAGGAAGGCCGGGTTGGGTGTGCAGCACCGCCAGGGTGCTGTCTGCACCTTTGATGGTGTAGACCCAGTCCCACCTCGGGCACAGCCGTGTCCCTTACTTTCACAGCGTTGCCTGGTGGCCCATTCAGTGCCCATCGAGAACTGTCGTCCTCGGGCACACCCTCTGTCTACATGGGACCAGTCCCTGCTGGTTGGCTTGATCAAGGAGCCAGCGCTTCACTCAATAAGGGAAACACTCACTGGGCAGCAGGTGACCGAGCAAGCTCCGGGCAGATGTGGGCTGTCATAACATCATCTGGACCAGCATCGCGTGCTGCACAGAAACTTAACAAAGATACCCAGTGGCCCAAACTTGAACCATTAGGCACTTAAAAAGTGATAGAAAGGGAAGAGTGTCATACCATAGAATTGAAATAAACTGTCGCTTTAAAACAGATTTCTTTCTGTGTCCTTGTAGCTGTTTATTTTTAGAGGAGTTTTAGGTTTGTAGCAAAATTGAAGGGGAGTACTACAGAGTTCCTACATACCCTGACTACCCACCCCTCAAGTGTTCTCATTATTAACATCTTGCGGTTGAATGCTACATTTGTTGCAGCTGGTGAGTCCTGTAAGTGAGGGGATAAACACTGATGCATCCAGATGCGTCCGCTAAGTGAATGGATAAACTGTGGTAGATTCCAGTAGTGGAGTATCACTACTTAAAACAAGTGAGCTTCCAAATCGTGAACGATAGGGAGGAACCTTGAATGCGTGTGGCTGCATGAAAGAAGCCGCTCTGAAATGCCTGTGTAGTGTGTAATTCCAGCTACAGGACATTGTGGAAAAGGTCAAACTGTGGTGACAGTAGTAAAGCCAGTGATTGCTGGGCATTAGGGCATGAGAGGCAGAGCACAGAATTTGTAGGGCAGTGCAGCTGTTCTTACGGCACTGTAGTGGTGGGTGTTGGTCACCACCTAATGTTGCCTGTGGGCTGTGGATAATTACATGCCAGTGTGGACTCGTCTGTGGAGGAAGTGTCCACTCCAGTTTGGCAAGGTGACCTCTCCTTCCGTGGCTCCCACCCCGACTCTCCTTCTAGGATACCTCGAGCCTGGCCACATGTACTCTCCCTGGATCCAGGAGACCCCCACTTCCCTCACCTGCTTCTGTGCTTGACTGAGCAGTCATCTTTCCCTGGAGCCTGCAAGATCTTGGAAGGCAGTGACCTCCTCAAAGGCAGCTTTCTGCTGCCACACCTGGGGTGCTGTTAGCACGCAGCAGACCCTCCGTAAATAGCTGCCAGGCGGGGGGCCAGGAGAGCCGATGTGTGGAGCTGCAGGAGCGCATGTGTGTGACATTTGGCCCCAGGGACAAATGGTGGACTGCTGCCCATCTGGAGGAAAATCCTTTTGGTTTTTCTTTTGTTTGTTTTTCCGTTCTGGGGATTGAACCCAGGGCCTTCACACTGAGGCCCTTCCCTAGCCCTTTTCAGTCTTCATTTTTATTTTGAGACAGGATCTTGCCGAGTTGCCCAGGCTGGGCTCGAACGTGAGATCCCCCTGCCTCAGCCTCCCAGAGTGCTGGGATGATAGGCGTGCACCCCTGTGCCTAGCAGGAAAAGCATTTTTTGTTTTTACCTGGTGACATCTAAGTATTTGAATTGAGCCGTATGCATCTGTACCAGTTACTTCATCAGCAAATATTTATTGGATGCTCTGTGCAAGGGAGGCACAGTGGAAGGGAAGGAAGGAAGCAGGGAAACTTTATTTTTAGAATCAGAGTGGTTTAGTGAGAGTAGGCACATTTTTGCCTTTTCCCTACTGATCATCTTCCTCTGCTTCTTGATGCAATGTGAGAATTAAAGTGCACAAGTGTGCTGTAAACTGTAAGGCTTTATGGATTTAAGACGGTTATCTTCCCCTTAGTGTCTGTATCTTCAGTATTTCTTCCTGATTTGTACCTGCGAAACAGTTTGAGGCTGATGTATTTGATAAAGAGCTCTGCTCTTTTGTAGTAAACGCAGACGCATGTTACTGGTAAGGGGATTTTATAAGAATGGCTGTAGGAGTTAGGTTCTGTACCTGCAGCTTCTGCTTTAGAATATATGAAAGTAGGTGACGCCCAGGACCTCACTGTCCCTTTCAACCCCAGGTGGATTGTGCGCTGTCCCTCACGCGCCTGGGCATGGAGCGGCAGATCCCCGGTCTGCTGGATCTGTGTGATGACCTGGTCACCCTGGAGACGCTGGTCTATGAAGCTGGCTGTGACTTAACCCTGACCTTGGCAGAGCTCCAGAAGATGAAAGACATCGAGAAGCTGAGATTACTGATGAACAGCGTAGGTTTTAACTTTGTTTCTAAAGTGCTCTCTGTGTCCTAATTAATAATTCTCTGTGCCCTCTAATTAATTCATGTCCCTAACCAGAAATGAAATGTCCTACAAGCCTGAGAACTTGGTTAAATAAAGGACGGTTCTTGGCTGGTTTTCCAAAATCAAATGATGTGGGTAAATCGTGGAAGAAGCCCGGAGTGTGCGGCCTGTTTCGCATCCCGTGTCCTTGGCTGTTCTCCCGCTCCCCTTCCCGTCCCTCGCTCTCTCCCCTTCCCTTCTGCATCCCTCTCTTCTCCTGGCTCACCTGCTCCACACCCTTTCTCTCCCCGGCCCAACTTCCCCAGCCGTCCTCAGCTTCCTTCCTGTGATCCACGCAGTGGCCTTGTCTGGTGGCTCATGAGAACACGGCTCCTATGCAGAGATTCAAGTGTCTGCTTGGGTGACTGAGAGGTCATTTCATGATCATAAACAAAATTATCTGTGTCATTTGGAGCTTTTCGAGGGTGGATATTAAAGGGCCAAACAAGGCAAAGAAGAGTCCAGGAAGGGGGGACTCTGGGCTTTTTATAAACGAGACCTTTCCCAAGTTGCTCCTTTGCTAAGCCTCTTGGCTCACCTGACCTTTCTGTCCCTTTCTGTCCCGGTGCCTTATTCTCTTCTGTGCTTCTTGCTGGGTTAAGGTCTCTCTCCTTGCCACACCTTCCTTCCCCCTCGGTGGGTCTCTCTCTGCTCTGGGGACCTTGTGGCTGAGGAGTGGCCATGATGTGTGTCTTCCAGAGGTGGGCCCAGGCCCTTGGGGACCATAGGTCAGTTCCGGTCTGAAGGCAGAGCCAGAGTGGTGCTGTCGTCACTGTATTCCTCAGGGTGACACCAATTCATCGAGCTGTCTGTGGGGCCCTGCTGCTGTGTCTGTTTCAACATCCATCTGATTATCCCTAATCATCGGGATTTGTGTGAGGTCCTGAGACACATAACCTAATGATATTCCCATTTGTTTTGGTTAACTATACTTTCAGTGTTCCGAGGACAAATATGTGACGAGTGCCTACCAGTGGATGGTGCCCTTCCTGCACCGCTGTGAGAAGCACTCTCCCGGGGTGGCCAAGGAGCTGCTGAGAGAGTATCTAGTAACTTTAGCTAAAGGAGACCTAAGGCTCCCCCTGAAGATATTTCAACATTCCAAACCAGATGTAAGTGGAAACTGTACCTTCTCAAATTGTTTGGCCCTTTTTTCTTGATAGAATTAAGTTTTATTTATGAATTTTTATGACAGGCATTATAAATGACTTTCCTTTAAACTGAAGAGAAAACGGGTGTTGTGCTCTTCTTTTTTCAGCAGGATTTTGCGTTCCATGTTACCATCGAAAAGTTGTCAGTGATCGTTAAATAGAACCACGTGAAAGTGTTATTGCCAGAGTTAAATAAGTTATTCTGCAATAGAATCTGAAATTTAAATATTTGGAACTGTTTCTACAGTTAGTGTGATTTGGTGAGACAGGAAGCATTTGAGCCTTGCTTCTTGATGTATGATTTTAATTATTCATGTGTAACATTTCCTTAAATTGCAGGAAGCCACGTGTTGGCAGAAGGACCCACCCTTTAAAGTGCATCTGTATTGCACTGTGGGTTTTTACTGGCTTTGGCCACTGATCTGCATGCAGAGCTGAAAAAAGAAAGCATTCTTGATTCATTAGTTTGGAGGGGGTGAGAGGATTTAACTCTTAAGTCTCCTGTGTCATGTGTAGAAATGAGTTGTGAAATTCATCTGAGTCATTGGAATAATTTTGTCTTCTAGTTTACATAAATATATTCACAGTAACATTAATAAAACATCTTAGCCAAGCGTAGTGGCGTATACCTGTCATCCCAGCACTCAGGAGGCCAGTCTGGGTTATATAGTGAGTTCAGGGCCAGCCTGGGCTACATTGAGAGACCCTGTCTCAAAAAACCAAAATTCAAGGACAAGTGATAGCCACAGAGTTTATTTTGGTCCTTTTTTATTGGAAGGGACACAGCAGTATGGTGTAGTCCCTGTGGTACTATGTCCTGGACATTAGACTGAGGTCAAGGAAGACACTTAGGGCTGCTCCACTTTGAAACTCCAGTTGAATCTACTTCCTGCTACTTTGATAAAATGGGAACTCTAGGAAAATATACAGTCTCTAGTCACAGTGGAAAGGAAAGCATTGCCTTATCTTAGAGCATTTTTGTGTTTGCTTCTGAAAGTATCAGCTATCAGAAACACATCTGTTTCTTGGTTATTCAAAAGCTCCTGTCCTCTCTTAAGCAGTTTGCTCTTGTGGTGTGTGGTTTTCGGCTTGGGGAAGTTTACTGGGAGCCAGGTGGGTTGCTCACGGCAGCAGAATCCTGTGTGAGGAGCGGGATGGATTGAAGGTGAATGTTTTATGAGGAAGGAAGAAGTAACTCTAAATTCTTTCCCATCATCTTGTTTGTGATCCTTCTTCCTTACAGAACCATGTAAATCCTTTGTACACAGTCAGCATTTTGTTGTTTTTGCCTGGCAGTTTAGCATGTGCCTTTTGAATAAAACATAGAGCCATTTGCCTCTGCTGAAATATGTGAACATCAAAGCAAGAAAGTGATGTCATCGGGTTCTTTATTTCCGATCCAAGTCACCTATTTCTCTTTGTGTTTCCTTCCTGAGATGTGCACCTTTCATGCTGTGGTCTTGGGAAGTTCCAAGGGCCACCATTGCTGTATTGCGCTGGGCTCTCAGGGGACAGGACGCTTCTTCACTTCCGGTCTCCTCTGCAGCCTGCTTGTCTGGGCGTGTGAGTCATTCACCGGGCACTTGCTAGCTCTCCACTTACTTATGGGCCATTCCCTTTGTTTAGAGGGGTCACTCTCCCCTCTTCTTCACTGCACAAATCATGGTGTTCTTCAGGGGCCTGCTCTGGGATTTTCTCTGTTGTGAAATCTTCCATCATCTATCTGTGCTGGGAGGTCCTTGTGCTCGCCTCTGTTGTGACCTTTCCCACCCTGTGTTGGGATTGTTGTCCATGTTTGCTTTTTCTCCTTGCTTCTTTGTGTGGCCTCGCTTCTCATTGATCTCCGTATGACCAGAGATGAGCACGGTGCCCACCGGAACAGATGGTGCTCTTGAGACCATGCACTCAGTGCCGTGTGATGGGACAAGCCAATGACCTATTGAAACTGCCTTCGTTATGGTGCTTTATATCACTTGATTCCCTTTGTGTGCTTCACTAGAATTGCTCTGGGAGCACTGTTTGTGTCTTACTTGATTGCCTGCAACTTGCTTTGGATCTGCCATGGGTCATCAGAGTATGTGAATGATGTAGCAGGAGCACAACTCTGTTTCAGACAGCTCGGACCAGGTTATGCTGCGGTAACAGATGATCTCTAAAGCTTAGCTTTTCGTAACCTCAGACATTGATTTCTCACATGTGTCATGTCTGGTCCCTCTCCGCTGTGTCCATGTCTTCTTCACCTGGAGGCACAGGCAGATGAAGCAGCCTCCTTTTCCGTTGTGTGGGTCAGGAACCACTCAGTGTTTTGTAAAGCTTTGCTCAAAAGTAACTCAACTTGGGCCGGGGATTTAGCTCAGTGGTTCCACTGCCTGCCTTGCAGGCACAAGGACCCAAGTTCGATCCCCAGTACCAGAAAAAAAAGTGGCTCAACTTACATAGTCACATTTCACAGGCTGAGGAAAATCTCCTGGCCAGTCTGATGTTCCATGGGCAGGAAGAACAGTCTCTCCCAGAAGAAGGGGAGGGGACATTTGGGAACCATAATGCTGTGGGCCAGACTCACAGTGACAAAGGGATGGGTGTAGAAACTTATCCAGGTTCCACCGTGGTGGTCATCTGCTGGGCTCCTGTTCAGCCTCCTCCTGCTCTGTTTCGTAGCATCCCAAGCACTCGTCTCTGTAGGCCATTGCTTTCACTGGACTGTCCCTTCAGAAAGTGAAACTGCATATACCTAGCCCCATTCTGGAGAGAAGTGACTTGGGGACAGGAGCATCTGCCTTCTGATGTGTAGCACGTTTCCAATGTGTCTGTGCATCAGAACTATATACATTTTTTAAGTAATGAGAGTTTTCTATGGCCAATCCAGACCTAATGGAGTAAAACCTGGTGGGTGAGATTTCGGTATAGCCTTTGGCAGTCTACCCACTGATTCTGTGGGATCCAGGGCTGGGAACATCTGCTTGAGATACCTGGTTCTTCTTTTAAGAAATGGGAATTTGCAGTTGAGAGATGGCGGCCATCGCAGATAGAGCATTCCTGCTGTTCCTCTCCTACCAGAGTGGCAGCAGGGGTGCCAGCTGCTGCGGCTCGCTGACTACTGGCTGCTTCCCGGGGCTGGGAGTCAGCCACCAGTGGCAGCAGCAACACTACCGGACGGGTCTCACTATGTAGTTCAGGCTGGCCTTGAACTTACTACATAGCTCAGGCTGGCCTTGAATTTACAACAATCCTCCTGACTCAGCCTCCTAGTTGGTAGGATTATAGGCATGTCCCACAACATGTGGCAAAATGTGAAACCTTTTGAGCACTGACATCATGCCACAGTGGAAAATTTCACACTTGACCTACTGTAAAGAACTATAGTCACAGAACAAGTGCATTAAAAAAATTGTGTAAGCATGGTACTGGCAAAGAAACAGACCCGAGGACCCGGGGAATGGATGAGAAGATCCAGAAACAGCTGCAGACACGCTCAGCCACCTCATCTTTGACAAAGGAGCCAACCACCCTCACTGGAGGAAAGACAGCCTCTTCAATAAATGGGGTTGGGAGAACTGGGTTTCAACCTGCCAGAGATTATAACTAGACCCCTATCTTTCACCAAGCACTAAACCAAAATTGAAGTGGATTAAAGATCTAAATATTAAAACAGAAACACTAAACTTACTGGAAGATAAGTTAGGTAGAACTCTTGAAGACATTGGCATAGGAAAAGACTTTATGAACAAAACCTCATTAGCACGGGAACTTGCACAAAGAATGAACAACTGGAATCTCATCTTATTAAAAAGCTTCTGCACTGCAAGAGAAACCACCAACAGAGCTCAGAGACAACCTACAATGTGGGAAAAGATTTTTACCAGCTGTTCTTCAAACAAAGGTCTACTATCTAGAACATATAAAGAACTCAAAAAAATCAGACTCCCTAAATATAAAGACCCAATTCAAAAATGGGCGTCTGAAATGAACAGACATTTCTCAAACAAGTAAAAGCAGCAAATAAATATATGAAAAAATGTTCAACATCATTGGTCATTTGAGAGATGCAGATGAAAACAATGCTGAGATTCCACGTCACCCCAGAAAGAATGGCTGCTATCAAGAAATCAACCACAGTGGTTCTGGCGCCTGCCTTGCAAGCAGAAGGACCCGAGTTCGATCCCTGGTACCAAAAAAAAAAAGAAAAAAGAAAAAAAGAAATCAACCAATAACAAATGCTGGCGGGGATGTGGGGAGAAAGGAACCCTTCTCCATTGTTGATGGGAGTGTAGACTGGTGCAACCACTGTGGAAATCAGTATGGAGATACCTCAGAAAACTAGGATTAGAGGTCCCATTTGACCCAGCTATCCTTCTGCTGGTTATCTTCCCAAAAGAATTAAAAGAATCATATCACAGCAATATATGCACACCCATGTTTATAGCGGCACAGTTTGTAATAGCTAAAACTTGGAAATAGTCCAAATGCCCATCAACTAGAGACTGGAGAAAGAAGATGTGGTTTTTCTATAAAATGGAGTACTACTCAGCCATAAAGAATGAGAAACTAGAGACATTTATAGCTAAGTGGATGCACATTGAGGTCATACTCTTTAAGTGAAATAATAGGGCACACATGAATAAATATCAAATAGTTTCTCTGGTGTGAAAAACTAAAAGTGTAAATAAGGTTCAAATGGTATAATTGATAATTTGAAATAGGAAGAAAAGGTCCAAAGGAGCAGGGGAAGTGGAAAGGGTAGGGGAAAGGAAAGAAGGGAAAAGAAAAAATTTGATGAAAGGAGAAAATGGAAATGAAGTCTTTGTTAATAGGGAAGGGTGGAGGGGGTGAAGGGAGGGCAGGGAAATGGGGAAAAAATAAGAACCAAGATACATCATGTAAAGGTACAAGATCCCAAAGCTGAATGTAACTGTATTGTATACCTAAAATGTACCAATAAACTTAGTAGAAAAGAAAAAGAAATGGGAATTTACTACTTGTAGTAGCTTTGTTAGGTCCATCATTTTAGGTTGTTTCTGATTATGTGATTTAGTGGGTAAGTTTGATCTTTCCTAATTGGATGCTTACCGTAGAATATAAACTCAGGAAAATATAAAGATAGAAACAGACAGAATCATTGGGTAAATATTCTGAAAATCCATCCACTGTAAAATATGTGAAAGTACTCATGAAATTAGTAAAAATTTGTTTAGTTGGATACTCAACTTTTAAGAGAGTAAAGGAAAACCTCCTGGCCAAACTGAGGAGGGAGGAAGTCAGAGAAATACTCCTGAGGAGGAGGCATTGGCTGCTTGGGGTGGGGACAGGGCTTGTAAGTTTGGGTTCTACACTTGAACAGTTGCCTTGTCTGTAAGAGTGCAGGGCAGAAATGCCCACACCAATGGCAGCAGAGGAACTGGATCCTGCCCTGTGTGCGCTGGGTGAGGCTGGGGACTGGCACTGTCCCTTCTGGAGCACATGTAGCTGCAAACCTGCCTAACTTGGTGTAGTTTGAATTTATTCTGCCCGGTGATCTCTGGAAACATCAGCCCTGGCTACTGCTGTATTTAGTTGGCTTGTTGGAGCGTAAGTAGAACTTCTTCGAGGGATTCACATTTGTCCAGGTCTCAGAATTCTCAGACATGAAGCCTGGTGAAGAGGCATTTACGATCCAGTTTACAAAACACAAAAGGAAAACCAACTATGAGGAAGATCGAGCAGGCAGACGTTCATCCCCTCTGGTGTAACAGCCTATCAGATACAGGCTACTGAAATGAATGCACTACAGATTTAAGACATCAGGAAGGAAACAGAAATGTAAAATGTAAGGAAACGAGAAAGGGGCATAAGATTTGAAAAAGAACCAAAGAGTACTTCTGGAATTGAAATATAGTTGTAGAAACAAGAACCCAACTGGATGTGTGTGAAAGAATGTATGACACAATTTAAGAAAGGACTGAAATTGGAAAACAACTGAAGAGATAAAATGCTTTTAAAGATAAATGAAAACTAAGTTTGTGGTTTACAGACCCATCCTGAGAGAATTATCAGCAAGAGATGGGGCAGCGGCTGCGGAAGCGGACCGCACTCTCTTTGTGGGCAACCTTAAAACTAACGTGACCGAGGAGCTGCTTTTCGAGCTGTTCCCCCAGGCTGGGCCAGTAGTAAAGGTGAAAATTCCAAAAGATAAGGATGGTAAACCGAAGCAGTTTGCGTTTGTGAATTTTAAACACAAAGTATCTGTTCCTTATGCAATGAATCTACTTAATGGAATCAAACTTTTTGGAAGGCCCATCAAAATTCAGTTTAGATCAGTAAGTAGTCATGCCTCACAGGATATCAGTTTATCATACCCCCAGCATCATGTTGGAAATTCAAGTCCTACCTCCACATCTCCTAGCAGATATGAAAGGACTGGAGATAGCATGACACCATCATCACAGATAATTCAGATTATTCTCTTCTCCAGAAAATTATCAGAGATAAACAGTGATGAACAATGTTTTAAGACAGATGTCATATGGTCGGAAATATGGTTCTCTATATGTGGATCAATCAGAATCTTCACCATTGGTTCAGTCACACAATCATACTTTTAACCAGTCTTCAAGCTCCCAGTGGCGCCAGAACACACCACCATCACAGCGTAAAATCAGACAGAATTCTCATCCCTACCTAGCAGATAGACATTATAGCCGAGAATAGAGTTACTCCAATCATGGGTCTGACCACCATTACAGAGGAAGCAGAGAAGACTTCCTCTACAAAGATAGGAATCATGATGGCTGAGCCATGATCATGATAACAGAAGGAACAAGTGGTAGAGATGGAAAATGACGCTCATCTCGACACTAGCCAATATTTAAAGGGCATTGTTTTATAGGGCCATTTTAGGCTCTTTACACTAAATTGAGCTGAAAATAATTTGAAAAACTGTACAGAGGAGCTTTTCCAGTTGCCACATTTGTTTTTTTAAAAATGGATAGCTGCAGTTTAATACAGAAATGGGAAGAATTGTGGTTCCAGTCTTACTTCATTAACAACCTTTCACCTCAGGGCTTTGTGAAGAGGAAAGGGTTTTATGCAAAAGAAAGTGCCACAGTTCCTAATCATCTAGACAGCTTCAGAAGGGTGGACTGTGTAGCAGACATGATTTAAAAAAATGCAATGTTTAGATTTTGAAAAAAAAATTTATAGTAAAAGACACACATCTCTATATTGCCATAATGGCATTGTGTCTTTTACTGTAACAAATTTAAAAAATCTAAACATTCCCATATACTTTGATCAGACCTCATACATAGATGGTTGTATTATAAAGCAAATATTTTAATTTTTAGTACTGCAAGAAATTCCGTGCTAAGTGAATCCAGTTTTGATGTATATAATAGGAAGTCCATATTGATAGCTATCAGCTAATCAGATGGCTATCTGTATTTTGTTAATAAATTAGAAGATACAATTTTTGAGTGGTATTTTAAGTTTCAGAAAGTTTTTGGTTGTTAGAGGATAAACCATTTTGGTTAATTTAGAGAATTTAAGTATAAGTTCTGTGAGATGTTCTTTGTAGCTTTACCCTGTATAAGTATAAATTTACATATGCTATTTCATTCTAAAATTTTAGAAATTTTTTATTAAATCATATTTGATGTATGACTGGTCACTCAGGAAGTTAAGTATCTGTATGTGAAATATCTGTATGTGTATATTTTTACATGGAAAATTACAGTATTAATGTAAATTTGCTTTTTCAGGAAGAACAAAAATATCCAATGCATACTCATAAAATAGTAAAATGTTTTACTGAAAGTATTCTTTTTGGGAAAAAAGACTCATGAAGTTTTTATGTGCTGCCTCTGTTACTCAAATTTCAGAAATTTTGACATTTTCCGAGTGACCAAAACCTGTACCAAGGACACATTTTATTACAGAGATTATACAAGTTGATTTTTGTTTAAACATTGGAAAGAATTTAATGTAACATTTTACTGCTTTAAAAATTTTCAAACCTTAAAACTTTTTATGTATCAAGATGTTATTTCCCTTTCATTACAAAATTGTTTATAAAATTCATTCCTTGAAAAATTTGGATCCTTTTTAAATACTAATCTCAGCATTTGTACTGTCACTTTTTAATGTATTAAAAACATAAAAAGGAAAAAAAAAGAATTATCAACAAGTATTCATCATGGAGAAGGAAATATCCAAAAATAGATATAAGGGTGGTGGAAATTGTTTTTAGGAAATTTAGTAAATATGAGAAAAATATAAGCCAGCATTCTGTTAATAATCATGAAAATAGTGGGAGAGAAACTTAGTAAAGATGTGGAAAGCACAAGGAGTGTCCATCAATAATTACAAACACAATGCAGTACAGGCGAGGCGGAGGGATAAAATGGGGTTGGGCAGAGAGAGTCTCAGGGTCTCAGGGTCTGCACTGCTCAGGTGTTGGGTGACAGAGACACTGACATAGTCATTGAAGGCTCAAGTATGCTTGTCACTTGACTTATTGTATTTTATTCTGAAGTGTATAGCACTTGTGGTGATCGGAATAATGACCCCCAAAATGTCTAATCTTAATTCTGGAGCCTGTTATGATGTACTTTACCTGCCCAAAGGACCATGCACCACTGATGAAGCCAAGAACCTGGAGCTTTCTTGGCTGTCTAGTTGGGCCCAGTCTAAAGCCACTTTTATGGCTTGTGTTTAGATGTCCCCCTAAAGCCTCACGTGGATGAAGTGGGGCTTTCTCTTTCAGAGGTGGCTGAATCTAGAGTTTGTGATGCTGAGATTAAGGGTGTGTTATTACTAATCTGATACACTTGAGTGATTGGTTTGGCACCACCTTGATCCCGGTAGTCTGGATGGGATAATAGGGGCAGAAAAATGCTGCTAAGGCCCCTTGTTGCTTTTGCTACTTTGTGTGTGCCATATTGTTTCTCCTCTGCGATGCCTGTTTGGTGTCCCTGCCTTGGAGCCAGCCGATTATGGGCTGAAACCTCTTCAAACTATGAGCTAAATAAACCTTTTCCCCCGTAACTTCGGGTGTTGGGTATTTTGTATTAGCAACGATATAATAGTAACTACCCCAGTTGCTAATCTCAAGGATTGATCAGCACAATGAGTTACCAAGGAGGTGCAAGTGCTTACAACTCGTGAGATACCACCTCACATTCATTAGAATGGCAGCTAGTGTCAGAAGATAGCAGGTGTCGGCAAGAGCATGGACAGAAGGTGACTTTCACGCACTGTTGCTGGGAACGTTGATCAATACAGTTCTGGAAAACAGAGCAGAGGTTTTTGAGAAGGTAGAGCTAACGTGTGACCCAGCAGTCCCTCTTCTGTGTGTGACCCGAGGGAAGTGCAGTTAAATGAGTAATATATATTGCATACTGAAAAATAATAGATTCTAATATTGTTGAATATTAAAGAATTTTATGTATTTTTGTAATTGAAATACACAGAATTTGCCTTTGGGGTTAGAAATGGTGTTTTTAATGAATTGCCTTTGAAATTCACTGTGCTTTTCCGATCTACTTTATCTTAAACGGGTCATAAATTGAAGAGTCTGTTTTCAGCAGATGCAAAGCTCTGAGTTACAAATGATCTTTTCTCGCTCATTCTGTAATTAAAGTGTGATTTCATTTAGAATTATTAAAGACCCCAAGGTCTGTAAGCTAAAGAAAAATCAAACTTTGTCTCTGTGGCTGATTAATTGCACTATTTAATATTCTATTGACAGCTGCACTTGAATAGGGAGAGACCATAAATCCATTGACATTTAGTACAACATGCTTTATTTTCTCTAGCTACAGCAAAGAATCATTCCTGATCAGGACCAGCTGATGGTGACAGCTCTGGAGTGCATTTACAGCTGTGTGCGCAGCGACCAGCTCCCCCTATGCTATGGCATCTTGGAGTGTCTGCCACAGAGAGGGTGCGGGTAAGGGGCTGTCGTGTGCCGTCCTTTCATTCTGACAGTTAAAACAAAATACTGCTTTCTCAAGTGTTTGTCATGGAGAGATTGGGGACTATTCAAAAAATATAAAAAAGAAAATAAAATCATGTGCTATCCTGTTGTCTGCTGGTAATCTGTTTTACCAATTTATAAGAAGTTCTGTATTTTTAACTGTAACTACATTTGTTTTACTATGATTGTGTTAAACTTGATAATTATCCATTTAAACAAAAAATACCACCACCACAACAAAAATACATTTAAAAAGTGGATTGATAGTGATTTATTTGGCTTTAAGTTGTAAATTTAATTAAGCATTTTTCATATTTATAGGATAATTGTATTTGTGAATTTTTTGTTCTGGGTCTTTACCTATAGTAGTCTTTTTAAGTTGTAATGGATGAGTGTTTATTATTTTTAAGTACTTTTTGTTTAAATGGAAATTTATATTGTATGCTTTTGGATTATTTAGTTGTATGCAAATCAAATTTTATTTTCTCTTCAGAAGTGAAGTAGCAGTCATTCCTTTACTCTCTTTTTAAATCTAGTACATATTATGAGTTTGACATCTGGAGAAGAATACATGATGCTCACAACATGTGAAAAGGCACTGAATGAAAACTCACACCTGTTTCTAAGCCTTTGTGACTCTAGCCAAGTTGCTTAACTTCTCTGCTCATTTGCAGAAAAGACATTTGGACAAGAAAGCTCTTTACTTTGTTTTCTCTTTCCCTTTGCTCTTTTTCTTATCACCTTTTTTCAAGAAAATCTTTTTTTAATGAAGCAAATGATAGCAATCTCCAGTTTTATAATCACTGTGAAATAATTGTTCATGCAGTCATTAACAGTACTGAAATCAGGCAAAAGATTAATGGTTAAAGATTAATTTGCATGTTAACAGAGTATTAGTCCAGCAACTAATTTTTTTGATTCTAATTTTAAAGGTGGAAAAAATTTTTGAATGGTGAAATTGACTTTAATAAATCGAGGCCTGATTGCCATTATCCTAACTAATCAAAGTGGTGTGACTCATGGTCAGACCACTTGACTTTATATGCCCTGATGCAGTGTAGCATGAAGTTGGTTTTGCAGCCTCCCTTCCGAAGCAGTTGCACTGAAATTGTTCACCAGAGTCTGACCTATAGACTGAGCTTCTAATTTACAGTTACTACAGGGAATAGAAGAACACGTTTAATAACACCATGAAGGAAACAACAAATGCAGAATGCAGGATGTTCTATAAGTTAACTGATCTTTTCACTGTAAAAAGTGACATTTAGAAAAACAAATTGTTGGAAAGGTATAATTGTAAAATAAAGGAGTCCCAAGGAACACGGTCCCTTTCTAATTTTAAAATATGATGTATGAACACAGTTGAAATCAGGCAACTGTAAGATTTATAATATATACATACATGTTTGCCCACTTTCTCCATCTTTAAATACCTTCTTCAAAAAAGCAGATACTTTGATAGATAATTTCTCTTGTCTTTGCCTGCCTCCTTTTAAATATTACACTCATGTTGTTATTTACTAACTTTGCAATTTTAGATCACTGTTGACTTCCTTTTATGGAAATCCATTCCCTTCTCCGTATCTATTCCTTCTACCACTTTTTAAATTAAACAAAAGGAGGAACACATGGGCTTTGTTAAAGACAAAGCTAGATGGAGTGCGTGACTGCAATATGCATCAGTCTGGGCTCAGGACCCTTACATAGGGGAGGTAAATCACAGGGAGACCTAGCATCTCTTTGTTACTGTGCAGGTGCGACAGACCACAGGCTGCCACTGCTCCCGGGCCAGTGAGGCTTTGAGGACCAAGGCCTTAGGTAGGCAGTGAGGGGCAGGAAAAAGTACCACATCAGTGCGACTCTGTAGCAGAGTCACTGCCCACAACTAAAAAGCCTTATATTGTCCACTGGTCAACTGAGTGCGAGGCTTCCTCCTGATAGCACCCAGTGAGCCGTAGTGGTCAGCAGCCTCTTCCTTGGTGAGGCCAGAGAGAAATCCAGCACTTCCTCCAACAGCATGATGCCCTCTCTCGTTCCAAGTCAAAACCTTGACTTCCAACTTCCATGTAGAAAAGACAGTCACTTATTTAACCTAATTAAGTTTCCATGTATCTTACCTAGTATCTTAGTTAGTTTTCTCTCATTGGTGAGACAAAATACCTGACACCTACAAGTTAAGGGAGGAAAGGTTTATTTAGCTCACAGTTTGTGGAGATTTCAGTTCATAATTGGCTGACTCCAAGGCAGGATGGCACATGGTAGGGGGACATCGTACAGGAGAAACAGTTCATGAAACTCAGAAGATAGTAAAAGCAAGAAGGGACCTAAACAGTGTCTTTCTGTCCCTTTTATCTTATCCGGACTACTTAGGGTGGATGGTGCCCTTGAGCTTAGCTTTGCACCATGAATCAATCACACACTCTAGATCCAGCCACCTTTGAAAAACAACCCACCAAGATTGCATCAGGCTTTTAGGGGAACATCTAGACACAATCCATAACATTGTGCTCCTGGGCCCCCAAAGTCTCATGCACATCTCTATGCAAAAAAATTATTTAGTCCACCTCCAAGAGTTGCCAAAGTCCTAACAATTTTATCATTGCTTAAAAGTCCAAGTCCCATGTCTCCTATGAGATTTAAGGCAAACTCTTAGCTGCAAGCCCCTATACAAATGAAAGTTAAACACTTCCAAAGTTCAGTGGCACAAGATAAACATTTCCACCCCAAAAGTTACAAATGGAGATACAAAGTAATGGGAACAAAGCAAGTAAATCCAGCAGGGCAAACATTAAGTCCTGACAATCTGTGGCAAGTTATAAATTCCAAAGTGCTTGCGTGGCCCCACCCCTATACCATTGCTGGTGAGTGTAGCTCCCATGGCTTCTCTCTGGGGCTGGCTCTGCTCCCTCCTTGCAGTTTTCCTCAGACGAACCACATTCCTGGCTTCTCCAAACTTTTCAGGTCTGCACTACACCTTCAGCTTCACACCCACAGCTTCACACATTGCCCTCAAGGGCACGCTGCCTGGCCTCCCAGGCCTTCTTCTGAAATCTGGGTGGAAACCTTCCTGACCCCACAGCTTTTGCGTTGTGCATGAGCCTAAAACCAGTGGCACATGGATGATATCAAGGTTGGCCACCAGCTAGAGCAGTAGCTGGGCTTCCTTCTCTCTTTGCTGCAGGGGTCCAGTGCCTATGAACCAAATCCTGAGGAACAACTTCCCTCTGGAACATGGTACTCTGGGGCTCTCTTCTCAAAGCAAAGTCTTTCACTTATGCAATTTCGGGGCAGTTTCCTGCTGCTTCTTGTGGTGCCCTCCGGCCATCTTTTCTCAGGCCAGTTCCTTCTCAGTGGTCAAGATTGCCTCTGCTCTATCTTTGCAGTCCTCTGTTCTGTCTTTGCAGTCCAGAGCTTCTTTTCTAGCCAGACTCAAAATGTTTTAAATCATCCTGCTGGGATCTTTACTTTTGATTCTTAACATAATTCTGGGTAAAATCCCCCAACAGTAGCCATGCCACAGCCTCAACATTAGACTGCATTGAAACTTCTTCTGCGAGATGAATTAGTCCATCACCCTTAATTTCAGTCTCAGGCAAAGTCTCTGGACACGAGTAAAATACAGACAAACTTTCTGCCCAGGCATAACACACATTGTCTAGAGTCCAGCAGCTAATTCAATCCTTCTTCTGAGCAGAAACCTCCTGAGCCGGGTCTTTACCAGCAGCATTTCTATCAGCATTCTGTTCTTCTGAGCTCTGACCAGAATCTCTCATCAAGTACTGCCTAAGGTGTCCCAACTCTGCTTTTTAAGCTGGCATCTCCAAACCTTTCCAGACTCTTTTCACAGGCCACTCTCAAAGGCTTCTGAACCAACAGTCAGGTATAGTCACAGCAGTGACTCTACTTCTCTGGCACTAAATTCCGTCTTAGTTACTTTTCTCTCGTTGCTGAGACAAAATACCCGACACCCACAAGTTAAGGGAGGATAGGTTTATTTAGCTCACAGTTTGTAGAGGTTTCAGTTCATAGTTGGCTGACTCCAAGGCAGAGTGGATGGCAGAGGGGCATCACAGAGGAGAAACCGTTCATGGAACACAGAAGACAGCAAAAGCAGTAAGGGATCAGTGTCTTTCTGCTCCTTTTATCTTATTCTGACTACTTAGGGTGGGTAGTGCCCTTGAGCCTAGCATTGCAGCATGAATCAATTCCAGCGTCACACACTCCAGATCCAGCCACCTCTGAAAGAACCCCTCCTATGACCGAATGAGGCTTTGGGGGGACATCTAAACACAAGCCATAACACCTAGGCAGCATATTCCATCTGGCTGAAAAAATTCTTTAGCCATGTACTTGTGATTGCCGATCACAGCTTAGGAAATTTATTGCATTCTTCACTATCCATGATGAATGTTACAAAATGATAATTTTAAAAATATGACTGCTGAGTGGTATGTTAATTGCAGTTAGCCCTAATGAATGCCTTCGGAAGGCCTTTATAGATTCTGCCCCATTTATCACTGTGGTTCAAAGTCTAAAATTTGTTTTAAAGAGACAGTGTAATCTGTGTAGTTTGTGCTCAATAGTTGTCTTATAGAATTAGAGCAGGGCCGACTGATCATTTTAAAAATAATGCAGTTTTGTGTTTATGTTAGGACATTAACAGATGTCCAAGGGTAGGCACAGATTTTTATTTGGGTTTCTTTTTTTTTTCCATTTAGTTTATTGGTACATTTTAGATATACAATACAGTTACATTCAGCCTTGGGATCTTGTACCTTTACATGATGTATCTTAGTTCTTATTTTTTCCCCATTTCCCTGCCCTCCCTTCACCCCCTCCACCCTTCCCTATTTACAAAAACTTTGCTTCCATGTTTTTCCTTTTCTCGTGTTTTTTTCTTTTCCCTTATTTCCTTTCCCCTTCCCCTCCCACTTCCTGTATTCCTTTAAACATTTTCTTCCTACTTCACAATATTAATTATACATTTTGATTCTTATTTACATTCTTAGTTTTTCACACCAGAGAAACTATTTGGTATTTACACATGTGTGTGCTATTTATTTCATTTAAAAATGAAATAAATTTAATTTCATTAAGAAACTTAATGAACTTAACTTCATTTAAGAATGAAATGAAATTTATTTCATTAAGAATTTAATGGACTCAATGTGCATCCACTTAGCTATAAATGTCTCTAGTGTCTCATTCTTTATGGCTGAGTAGTACTCCATTTAATAACAAAACCACATCTTCTTTATCCAGTCTCCAGTTGATGGGCACTTGGACTGTTTCCAAGTTTTAGCTATTACAAACTGTGCCGCTATAAACATGGGTGCGCATATATCACTGTGGTATGATTCTTTTAATTCTCTTGGGAAGATAGC